GCAGCCAGGATCACTGGAAGCTGGTGAGTGCTGGCAGGCAGCAGTGCTGGCTTCGCATTCGGGTCTTGTCAATTTAAATGTTAATTCAGTAACTAAATTAATCACCGATGGGCCGAGCCCAGCCCGTGTGGGCTGTCCCTGGGCTGGGCTCTCCGGAGCCTGTCCCTGCTGGATGCACCCTGCTCGGCTGCTCCTTGCTGGGGGAGGAATGGCTGCTGAAGGGCTGAGGGTGCCTGCTCCCTGCGGTCCCGTGCTGGGGAAGCAGAGCAGTGCTGCCTGGGTGTATGGATCCTGCTGGAGCCCCTGAAATCCCGCCTGAGGGCCGGGAGTGGGAGCAACAGCCCCAGAACCTGGGCCCCGGAGTCAAGGGGAGCCCCTCAATTGCAGCTTGCCAAAAGGGAAACTGAGGCACAGGGGAAGAGAGGAATGGGCTCAGGGACCCATCCTGCCCAAGCAGAGCAGCATTTCTGAAGCTGGGCAGCCTGAACAATTAGAAGTGATGAAGATCATCTAAAAATAGGGATTTGTAAATGTCAGGCTGGCGAGTGGCTGGGGCACGTGCCGGGAGGACGGAGCAGCTCTGCGGGCTGCCGGTGCCCGTGTGTTCTTAGGCAGGACAGGGAGCTGCTCTCATCTGCCCTGGGGTGATCCTGGCTCCCTGGGAGCTCCCCAAAGCCCCAGAACTGGCTGGTGTGCATCCGCCGGGACAGCCAGCACCAGAGGCGTTTGTTTTCTGGCTGTTTTATCCCGACAGGAGCTGCAGAGGATCCCAGCTCTGCCCCGGGTGGGGGACACCAGGCCCTCAACACAAGTTATTTTCCACTGGTTTTTGATAGGAGCAAACGTCAGCGAAGGCCTGAGGCCCCATGGATGATCCCAGCCTCAGGATCTGGGTGCTGCGCTGCCAAAAGCACCTCAGATGGCTCAGTCCCCCTCTCAGTGCAGCTGATGGGAGCCTGCTGGCACAGGGACACCCAGCAGATGTCATCCCCTCTGTCTCCTCCACCCTGCCAGCTTCTCCCTCATCCCCAGAATCCCACCTGTCCCCAGCGTGCCAAAAACTTGCTTGAAACAGCTGGGAACAGAGGTTTATTTGGAAAAATAATCCAGATTGGGGCAGATTAGTGGAAACACATCCTTCCCCATCTGCCTGGGCACTGCTGTGCCAGCTCCCTGAGGGGCTGCCCAGAGCCAGGCCTGGGGAAAACACACAGGGCCTTCAACCTGCCCCCTGGCCAAGCTGAGTGTCCCCAGCCCCTGATCCCTGCTGGTGTCACCTCCAGCCCCTCCTTGCTGCTGGGGACAGGTCTGTGCTCAGCAAGGAACGCCCATCTCCCAGAAACATCCCAGCCTGGCTAATTAGAAACATCCCTAGATAAACAGCAGAAATCCTTACTGACAATCCCCCTTCCTTTGGCAGGGCACAGGAGCCACCCCTGAACCAGAGGAAGGACAAACAGAGCACTGTCCTGGGTGTGGTGGTCCCGAGCCACCAGTGTTTCAAGCGAACCCTGCTGAGGACTCAAATCCATTTCTGTGGGGCTTTTCCCCTGTGCAAACCCTTCCCTGCTCTCAGGAACTCCACCCTGCTTTGTTTGTGCCTCAGTTCCTCCAAGGTATGAGGGTAGCATCCCTGTCTTGCTTTTCCTAAAGGAATCTATGAAAAGCAGAGGGTATTTTTCCTCCCTCTGAAGGTTTGAGTTAATTTGCGATAATGGAGGAGGGAATCTGAGGACTAAGGAGTCTGGTGTGTAGGCTGTGAGGGGTGAAGTTGCTTGGGGAGAATTAATTATCATTAATTCTGCGTGCTTCTGTGAGGACGAGGCAGCTCGTGGCTCATTCTCTTCCCTGCCCCAGTGCAGGAGCACCACAGCCCTGTGCTCAGTGAGGACAAGGGTGATGCTCCAGCCCAGCTATTTCTCCTGGATAAATCCAGCTGCCATCACCACGCTGGAGTTTTGGCCTCGTCTGCACTAAAGAACCACACTCAGCCTCTTTCCTGGGCACCTTGGGCCACCAGGGGATACCCTGGTGTGATGACATGAGCACCTGAACACTCCAGGACATTCTGGGGGCGGCCAGGGCTGCCCACCCACATCCCCCACCCCAGCCAAACCTTCCTGCCTGCCCGCTGGATCGGCCCAGGGAACATCTGAGCTTTGGAAAACAAGGAAGGAAAAGCAGATCTCAAAGCCTGTGCTGGTTGCAAAGCACCACTCACATTTCATATGCAGGGCATATAAATAGACATTTTTTGGCTTTTTTCCCCCCTCTGTTTTGGTGATGAGCCACTGCAGGGGGCTCTGAGCATGCTTTGCTTGGTTCCTATCACAGATGCTGTTTCTATCCTGCATTTCCCTCGGCTCCAGCAGCTGCTGGGGTGACTTTGTGCTCAGGCAGCAGCTCCTGCCATCAGCTCCTGCCATCAGCTTGGGAGGGTCCACATTCCTTCATGGAAAGGGGCTGTACGTAAATGTGATGGCAGCTGGGATTCTGCAAACATGGGGCCTTCTTTGAGAGCCCAAAAAGCACATTTTGAGTCTCAGCTCAGTGACAATGCCCTAATCCAGAGGTTCCCTACTCCTGCTCCTTTGTCATGTGTGGGGTATGTGCTGTACAGAATTACATTGATGCTAACAAGCCACAGGAACTGTGCTCCCACAGCTGTAGCTTTATCCACCCCCATCCTACCCCCTGCACATCACCTGGGTGGGCTTGGCATCCCTGGAGGGGCCTCATGCACCCAGTTTGGAGGGCCAGGATGGTCTGAGCCTTTTGGTGCCAAAAGGAGATGTGTCCTCATCCCTGGCACCAACACCAAAAGCCACCACCTCCCTCCCTCTGGCCTCAGGAAAAGCTGAAGCCACCAGCTGCCCACACCAGCCACGAGTTCAGAGAAAGGGCTTTGGGGTCAGGGAGTGTTTGGCCATTTCTCATTTTGCCTGGGGGCGATTTCCTTCCCCTATCTATCGCCAGAGCCTGGCGCCTGCTGCCAGACTGGTGCTCTGTTCCCTGCTCCAATATCCCCCTTCTCCTGCTTCCTCCAGGCTTCTCCCTGCACCGTGCTCATCCTCATCAGGGCTCCCATCTCTGTCCCCATGAATGGATGCTGGAGTCACAGCTGGGTGTGTGACACAGATGTGCCAGATGTGCAAGCCCCTTTGCTCAGGGGCTGCGGTTTGGCTGCACCGGGGTGGGAAAGGGAGGGGAGGTGGGGAAGTGAGTGAAGGTGAAGGCAGGCTGAGATTTCTCCCCTTGTAGCTGACTGCATGGAGTGACAAGGTAGCACCGGAGCCTACAAGGACCTACAGTGGGGGAAAACCTCAGGAAAAGGTCTTCAAAATTCAACAAGTTTCACAAGGAGCTGAGCCGTGGGGATCTCAGCATTCCCCAGGAGCCAGGACAGAGTGGGGAACCAGCTCCCTGCTCAGCAGGACCAGCTCAGAACATCCAGGAAAATCATAGTGATTCCCAGTGCTGTATCCCCACCCGAGCACAGCCCAGCCGCAGGCTCTGCTCCCGCTCTCCTTTCCCAGCCGACCCACCTCGATACCGGGATTTGAAGGGCAGGAATTTCAAAGGGGAAAAATGCAAAAGCCCCTGCACCGGGCTGCATCCCTCCCGGAGCCTCCAGGCATGCCCGGCATGGAAACAACCGCGCTTCCCACCTGGCAGCTGAGTGCACACGCAGCCGGGCCGGAGGAACACAACTCCCACCGAACTCCCTCTTCAGAGCCAGCACAGCGGGCACCAGCTGCTCCCGAGCATCCCCGGCACAGCACCCGCGCTGCCCGCACCAGCCTCCCGCTGCGGGGAAAGGCGAACGCGGACGCGTCAAACGCAGCGCTCCGGTTTCCATCCCAGCACCGGAACTCAGCATTTGAAGATGCCACGCTCCAAAAGCTGCAGCTTCCTCTGGGGAAGCCCCGCAGCCGGAGATGCTCGGCGCTCCGGCACCTCGTGAATTAGGGAGCAAACCGCCCGGCAGAGAAAAATTGCTTTAGAAAACTGTTACCTGGATAATGTTCCCGAGCCCCCGTGCTGCTGCCAGGGAAGGATCAGGACTGGCAGAGCCTGAGATCTGTGCACAAGCCACACAAAACCCCTGTGCATGCCTGGCCACCAAACCGGCTCAGCAAGAGAAGTTCCTAAGCACCGATGAAAGCAGAGGAGCCCAGAGCTGCCTTCCTCTGGCAAACCGACCACAATAACTTCGCCTCAGCCGCGGGGATATTCGGAAATCGTTTGCAAGGAGCTTTATAGAAAATAGACGATGGAGTGGGTGCAGCTTTCAATATATTTGCTCTAGGATATAGTAACAGGCACTAAAGCAAACACGGGCAGGGGAATTAGGGCGGGCGCTTCTGCTTGGCTCGTTTTAAATTACAAAGTGCCGAGACAGCCAGGTCTACGCTACATTCTAGAGTCAAAGGGCTGCCCCCGCGTGCCCCGGGGAACATGCACGCAGCCGGCGGAGGCGTTTCCTACAGCTGCATCGCCTTGTGCCTAGAACGAGCTGGAAATGTCATTGAACAAAACCTTATGGATAAACGGGCTCGCAAAAGCACGTCACCTCCCGGGGGGAGCAGCTGGACATGTTCTCTTTGCAGCAAAAAGGGAAAAAAACAAAGAAATCAAGTTTAACTTTGCGCCTGTCAAATAGAAATCTACTAGGAAAGTGAGCTGTACATGGTCAAAGTCAAGTCGAGGCTCCAGGAACGTCCAGGAGGACAGTTTCAGGTATTGCCGGTGGCTTTCCCGGGCTGTGCCAAGCAAACACCCGAGGGCCGAGCCGCGCATCCCGTGTGCCGGAGGGACCGGCCCTGGGAGCTTCCCGATGCTCCGGGGCCGAGCCGCCGTGCTCCCCGCCTGAGCACACCGCGATGGGGGAACGGTCCAGCCTGGTGCCCTGCGGGAACCCGTCGGGTCGGGGAGGGCGCGGCAAGGGGCGCCGGGCCGGAGCCCTCCAGGGAGGGTCACCCCGCGCTGGCGCACCCGAGGCCGGCTCGTCCTCACAGACCGATTTTCGGCGGTGCCGCGGCAAGGGGACGGACGGGCCGGGGCCGGGCGCGGAGGCGTCGAGGGGCCGAGGCCGCAGGGGCCGGGCCGGGTGCCGGGGGCGCCGTCAGAGGCCGGGGGTGCCGGCGCAGCGCGGGTCGGCGTCCTGCTCGTAGCGGTAGTGGTAGCCCTCCATCTGGTCGCGGCAGGCCTCGCGCAGGTTGTGCAGCCAGCGCTTGATGCCGCGGCGGTTCAGGTAGAGCACCATGAGGAAGACGACGCCGATGAGCGCCAGGACGATGCCGAAGAAGACGTAGGAGGCGGTCTCCAGCTCGCCGGGCTCGCCGCCGTCGCCGCGGGCGCAGGCCAGCGCCTCGGGCCGCAGGCGGAGCAGCACGGTGCCGCGCAGCCCCGGCG